ACTACTTATTAGTTAGTTAATGTAAGTAATACTCTCTCTCTCTCTCTCTCTCTCTCTCTCTCTCTCTCCACATGTTCCTGCGAACAGATATAGACATATGTATATATGCTAAGTTGTAGGGACCGATTCTAGCTTAGGTTGCTGGGTCGGGTGCACAGTTAAGATGCCGAGCTGATCCGGTGTTCGTAGTTTTTCAACCATGCTCGGAAGTCATAAAACTTCTATTTGTAATCCTGAAATAATGCCTTTACAGAAGTTTGAGTGTTTCTTATCGGGGGGAAAAGGAACTGTATGGAGTGAGATCATATTGTTTTTCTGTGATACTGTTATGTTAATGAATCTCTCTGTACTGTTTACCAGAATTCTCTGCTAATTTTAGTTATCAGAAAATTGAGCATTACTGAAACCATCACAGGCTTTCCTATGATTAGTAACTCCATGTTTCATTTTTTTTGATTTTGACAATGAAATGATTTAGTTATCCTCTTTTAGTGACCCTTGATTAACTGGTATTAATAAAAGAAGAAAAAGGTCTTGGGGTTAGTGGTTTGATTGGATCGCTTTTAGCTTATTTAGCAAGAATGTAACTGGCATTTGGCTTCCTTGTGTTCTGTGTTTTGTATCTGCACATTTGTGTTCTTTCTGTCTTCCCCTTTCTTTTTTGTTTGTTTTTTCTTACATATTGAAAGTATCTATACGTCTACACTTGTTTTATGTATGGAAAAAGTTTATATAAGGATGCAACCTTAAAATGTAGAATTACAGATGCACCTCAAAATCCATCGGAAAATATTGTTTTAATGTTGAAAAACTCTCTAATTGATCATCTCGATATTGAGATGTATGAATATGAAAAAAAAGAAGATTGTGAGTTCCAGAAATAGTGCATCTTGCAAAACATTTTCTAGACCGTCTATTTTCAAGATTTTCATATGTTTATAGATCTGCTTGATTTTAGCTATTTTTGGAGTTTAAATTTTTATAATTAGATAAAAAAGATTTTCAGTTAATCCTAAAAATTTATTACATCAAAATTACATGTTATGATAAATTTTGGAGGTGCACCTTAATTGGATTGTTTAAGGTTGCAACCTTATAGAAAATCACACCCTTTATGTATTATAGCTCATGATTCTTCTTTTGGCTATCAATAGGTTCCTTTTTTTGTTAGGACTCAATTTGAGACCGATTATGACTTCTGTATTTATATTGGCACACTGAACTTTTCATACCCATTTGTTGTCATTTTGGTTTGAACTTTGGAGACAGTACATCTACAGATATAATATTCTTCCTTTTGGTTATGGTGACGTATTATACATTTGTTTGTATCTGATTGTTGTATTTTGTTTTTAATTTACATATAAAATTTGCATGAATAGAGCCTGCAGCTTGAATCTTATTTTGTTTTTTGATTCTTTTTTGTGAACAGGTATACATGAAGTAAGTGTTGCTTTTGGACCTCAATTTTGTTTCCTTCTATTGCGGTAAAAGGGTTTTGCTTTCACTGCACGGCTTTTACTGATAAATAATTGTTTGGATCAAATCTTGGGTGGAGTAAGAGGGACTTAGCGCGTTAAGTTTCCACTGCTCCTTCCGTATCCTTGTTGAAATTGTTGAGAATCTCCATCACCTACTCCTTCTTAAACAGCAAATCAATGATAATCCTATGTATCAGAGAATTTGACTATTCCAAGTTCACATAAGAACCGATCTTTGTCCTACTATTGTTGTAAAAGAGTTTTGCTTTGACTACACAGTTTCTACTCAATTTATTATTTGGATCATATCTTGGTGGCGGAAGAAGGACTTCGAGCCAAGTTTCTGTTGCTTCTTCTGTGTCATTTTGAAAGTGTAGAGATTCTTTATCACTTGCATATATCATGGTTAAACAACAAATCGCTGATAATTCTATATACCAGGGAATTTGCCAAGTTCATGAAAAGCACTATCATTGTTGGTTACAGATGGCTCTTGAGCTTAGAACCATATTTTGTAAAACCTCGATATGACGTTTGTCTACTTTGCAGTATATCGCCCATTACGTCTTTTGGATTCTAGCTGGTGCATTGGAAATAAGAAGTTAGTGAATATAAATAAAAGAGAATGAGAGAGAGCAAGTAAGGCATGCATGCAAATTTGAAATTTAGTGTGCAATGAAATTTGGGGGAGCATGCCTAGATGGATGGGTAAAAAAAAAAAAAAAAAGATAACAGGAACCAAATATCCAGCCACTAAAAAATATGAGGAACTTGTCTGTTTGCGGGGTCTATACGGTCATCAGTAGATTATAGGATGAGAGAGAAGGTGAGGCATTACGTTCAAATCTAAATGTTATTGTGCAATGGAATAATTTAAAAGATAACAGGAAGAAATATATATGGCACTGAAAAATATGAGAACCTTTCCTGTTTGAGGGGTTGCTATAGTCATCTGGAGATTAAAACTGGGAGTGTGCGTATATGCAAAAAATAAATGGGAGAGACGTATCAAACATATGCCTTTCTTTCTTTTAACTTATTGAGGATATTAAGAGAGACACATGAAGAAAACTATATTTGAGGGTACAGTAGAAACCTGCAATTTTTTCTCTCATGATGCATATTAGGATATCAATTTCTGCTTAGAGGTTTCCACCTTATCTTTTCTTTTTCCTTTCTCTTGGATGGGTAGATGTTTCTACCTTTTCCCGTCATATGCTAATTGGCTGACTGATATTGAGTTTTCTGTGCCACTCTTTTGTACCATAGGAAATGCTCAAAGACACTGTGAGAACAAAAACATATCAAAATGTTATTTACCAGAACAAATTTCTCTTTAAGGACAAGGTTGTTCTTGATGTGGGAGCTGGGACTGGAATCCTCTCACTTTTCTGTGCCAAAGCTGGAGCAAAACATGTTTATGCGGTCAGTGATTCATTTTTTTCTAATTTATATTCTATTATTTCTAGTTGGAAGTTACATAAAAAGCTCTTACAGGATAGACCATTCTAGTTACAATCAAGAATTAAGTGGAAAGTTCAGTGTGAACTGTCTATTTTGTTAGAGAAATTGTTGAGTCACAAATATTGTGCTATATAACTTTCAGAGGGACATTTTTGGAACCTCATTTTTACACTGGAATCTCTTTCTTGATTATTTACCCTCCTGGACAGGCATGGTTTGATGATGAGCTTAGAGTTTCATTTTTAATAAATGTATAAAAATAAGTTCGATTATTATATTTGTCAATTTTATAATTAAGAGAATGAACAGTTTTTCACACATTATTGGTGTGTATTTCCTCCTCAGAATTGAACAAAGTTTACCAATGCTGATGCCAAACCCTAGTTTGGCGGCAAGATATGTTTTGGTCGTGTTTTGAGTTCCAGCAATGTGGTAATTTGCAAAGTGAATTGATGAGCATTGAATTTTGTTTGGTAATATACCTATAAAAATAGGTTGGATTATTATATGGTCAATTTTATAATCAAGAGAATGAACAGTTTCTGACACATTATCGGTGTGCATTTCCTCTGAATCGAAAAACTTTTGCCAACGGTGATACTGAACCCTGGTTTGGCGGCAATATATATTTTGGTTATCTGTGTTTTGAGTTCCAGCAATGTGGTAATTTGCATAGTGGGTTGAGACCTGGTATTTTCAATCTTCTTCTCAGTGTCAAAACAGTGTTGTCTTTTGGGGATGCCCATGCCTAAATGGGCTCTAACATGGCATCAAAAGAAGCCACTTAACCACAAACTTCGTATCACCTAAAAATGCAGCCCCAAAGCCTAAAACATGTTGTGGGGCAGCATATAGACGAGCCTCAAGGACCTCAAAACTGCTTTTCTCTGCTGCTCTTGACCATTGGATAGTTATTTACCTGCCAACTTGATTCTTCACTTGGAATGGGATAATCATGAGGCGTGCAACCCAAGAGTTCCTAATTCTGATGGGGGAAGTGAATCCCCCCTAGCTCCCTCCTTTCTGAGGGGAATTTCTGGCAATTAAGTGGTTGTCCATTCTCTTGTTTGTGTCTTTCTTCTCAGGTGGCCTATTGGAATTTTTATGAGAAGCCCTACTAATATGTATTCTGAAAAATCATTCTGTATAATTTTCAGGACTATCAAGCTGCCTTAAATCTATAACATAGATCTCTCTCTCTCTCTACTCTCTCGTTCATC